CCACTCTCTTTACAATGTGTATGATAATCAAGGTGAAAAGAAAAGGAGTACTTGTGGCACCTTAGAGACTAACCAATTTATTTGAGCATAAGCTTTCGTGAATGTGATATATGCCATCATGTGCCAGCAATGCCCCTCTGCCATGTACATTGGTCAAACTGGACAGTCTCTACGTAAAAGAATAAATGGACACAAATCAGATGTCAAGAATTATAACATTCATAAACCAGTCGGAGAACACTTCAATCTCTCTGGTCACGCAATCACAGACATGAAGGTCGCTATCTTAAAACAAAAAAACTTCAAATCCAGACTCCAGCAAGAAACTGCTGAATTGGAATTCATTTGCAAATTGGATACTATTAATTTAGGCTTAAATAGAGACTAGGAGTGGCTAAGTCATTATGCAAGGTAGCCTATTTCCCCTTGTTTTTTCCTACCCCCCCCCCCCCCCCCCCCCAGACGTTCTGGTTAAACTTGGATTTGTGCTGGAAATGGCCCACCTTGATTATCATGCACATTGTAGGGAGAGTGGTCACTTTGGATGGGCTATTACCAGTAGGAGAGTGAGTTTGTGTGGGGGGGGTCGGAAGGTGAGAAAACCTGGATTTGTGTTGGAAATGGCCCACCTTGATTTTCATATACATTGTAAGGAGAGTGGTCACTTTGGATAAGCTATTACCAGCAGGAGAGTGAGTTTGTGTGTGTGGTTTTTGGAAAAAAGGGGGGGGGTGAGAAAACCTAGATTTGTGCTGGAAATGGCCCAACTTGATTATCATACACATTGTAAGGAGAGTGATCACTTTAGATAAGCTATTACCAGCAGGAGAGTGGGGTGGGAGGAGGTATTGTTTCATGGTCTCTGTGTATATAATGTCTTCTGCAGTTTCCACAGTATGCATCCGATGAAGCGAGCTGTAGCTCACGAAAGCTTATGCTCAAATAAATTGGTTAGTCTCTAAGGTGCCACAAGTATTCCTTTTCTTTTTGCGAATACAGACTAACACAGCTGTTACTCTGAAACAAAGTAAATAGGTAGAGTGACTACACACAGTGTTATCAAACACAGAAAATCAACTACAGAAAAAATAATCTCTCTGATCTTTAAATTACAGTAATATTATGTTTTACTCATAAAAATCATAGATACATGTTTCAGAAAAAAGTGCAATTTTTTAAATTTAAGTGCCATTACACAGAACATACCACTCAGATAGCTAACTTTACTTAGAGTGGGGATTTAGGAATATTATATATAAATATACATTTAAACAATGTTCACCGACTAAAATGCAGCCACATCTGAAGTGGAACATCACACAACAACACTACATAATAGTGTAAGTCAGGAAGTATAGCATATTCAATTGAAGCTGTACTGTCAGAAAATCTAGTAGGCAGAACATAGTTAACCAAAAGTGGAATTTGGCCAAAGCTAAATACCACAATTTTGGGGGGGAAAAGTGCCACACACTCCCTAATTATGGCAAGTTATCTGAACATCAATGTTATGTTTCATCCAAAAGATGTCACCTCTAAGAATATCAATTATTGAATAAACATCACTTCTACATCACCCAGGACTTCCTTGGAGAATTCCTATCCAATTACCGACTAGACTCAGCACACTTAACACTGGGATGTACCAAAAAGACATAATGCTTATCAAACACAGCCCTGTTATTGGTGGACAAATCCCTGGTTAAAACATTTAGAATGCTCTAGTACCTTTTATTACAAAAAAAAAAAAAAGAGGTAGCTTCCTTTCAATGAACTGTATGAATGCAGGATAATATCAAATAAGATTTGAGATAAAAGAAAGGTTCAATATTAATTTCATTCTAACTGGAAGAGACAATGTAGGATCCAGAATCCGTATACCATATAGGGATGTAATCTAAAATAAACCAGTAAATTAGAAAAAAGGTTATCAGGTAAATTTTTCCCCTCAAAAGGTAAACATATTGTATACATTGCCATGTCTGACCAGTTTAGGAAACAGACATTTTTATAATAGAAAAGGGACATATTAAAGAACAGTGTTAAGGCTTATTAGGCAATGAAGTCTTTTTCTTGCCCAACAATTCTTGAAGAAGAACTGTTTACAGATGCAGTAGAGCCTCTAGCTGGTGCTTAGTCTCACTCACCTGGTATTTTGGTGCATTATTGCACTGTGGGAAACTGCCATTTACTTCTCCATTATGTAGCAAATTATTGTCCACCAGATTCCACCCCCAACTCTGGTCATCACTGCCCAGCAGTGCTACATAGCCCTGACACTGCATGGGAGCCCGTTTTGTGGCAATTCCAATTACTGCCACTGTGCCAAGAGGGCCCTCCCACCAAACTTCCCAAGCATGACGACCCTCACTGAAACCAATCTTGGTCCTTGCCCCATCTGTGCTCTGAGCAATGGGGTTCCGGTGCAATGTAAATCCATTTTTCTTGATGTACACGTTCCTGGAGCAGTCATTGGTGCTGAAAGCATGTTGAAAGGCCCGTACCTAAAACCACAGGAAGAAAGAAGGGATTTTTGAGTGGAGGGAATAATCATAAAATGAATTAATTCATTAACATCCTACAGCTCATTCCCACCAAATTTCAAACTTTTTTTTAAAACCAGTGTAGAAGAGACACAAAAGTACGCAGGATCAGAGGTGCCAAGTTCCTGAGTTCCCGAGTGGTGCTCAACAACCCCCCCCACTCCACCCCAGATCCCGCCCCCACTTCACCCTTTCCCCCAAGCTCCCACCTCCGACCCTTCCCGCACCTCTTCCCACCCCTGCTCCTCTCCCTCCCTGCCAGTGCCTCCTGCACACCACTGAACAGCTGATTGTGGCAGGCAGGAGGGCTGTGGGAGGAGCTGATCTGTGGGGCTGCCAGTGGGTGCAGAGCACCCATTATTTTTTTCTTGTGGGTGCTCCAGCCCCGGAGCACCCAGAGTCAGCACCTATATGCAGGATAGTGGGTTTACTGGTTGAAGACTCCAGAGACTAGGGAACCAGAGTACATGAGCCCCTGACACAGAGCAGTAGAGAGGACAGAGGGGAATGGTAGGAAGTGGAGGGCACCTGTAAGACAAGCAATTAAAAGCCCTGTCAATATTAGGGAAATTTTTCAAATAGCCAACCCGATTTCAGCTTCCCAGGCCACAGCAATGGGGACAGCCTCCTGGCTGTGCAGAGTATTTTAAGCACAGTTGACCAGACTTGCTTTGAACAGCTGGTAAGACCAACGCTTAATACTATGGCGGCAGCTTAAGACAAGCCTTCCTTGCAAGAAGATGACAATTCAGCAGCACCAGATCTACTTGCCGTTTTCCAACAGGGGAGATGGAAGTTGGGCAGTGGGTGTGGGGAGGCGCAGCCAGGGAAAACCTGCTCTCCATAGGCCAGTCCCATTGTCAAGGCGAAGGTAGAGAACAGTCATTTCAGGGAGTAGATAACGGCTCTGGCAGCGCTGGGGCCGGGACGGCGGGCGCGGCGGGAGGGTCTCCCCCAAAAGTGCCCGGGTGCGCGGACAGCGCCGGCCGGCCCTGCACAGTCGCTATCGCCGCGCGGGGTGCCCTGGCCCTGCAGCGATCCCGGCGGCGCAGCACGAGCCGCCAGCCCTGCCCCCCGCCGGGGCGGTTCGGCCGCTGGGGGCCTGTGGCGAAGCCCCGCTCACCTTGCCCTTGTAGGTGGGCACGTTGCAGAGGATGTCGGTGCGCAGCGCCTCCTCGGCCAGGCTGCGGGCGGCCAGGCTGCGCCACACCTCGCTGTTCTCGTCACCGTGCAGGACGCGGTGCCACAGCCGGCAGACCAGCGCGCAGCTGCGCAGCTCCCGCAGATCCAGGTAGGAGAACACCAGCTCCAGCACCCTCCCGGGCAGCCGCCAACCCGTGCCCCCCGCCGCGCCCCCACCGCCGCCCGCCGCCATCGCCTCTGGCGGCGCTCACCGGCCGCTCGCCCCTCCTCTCGGCGCCGGCCGGCCGGCCGGCAACAGCCGCCGCCGCCCGTTCCGCGAGACCCCCCGCGACGGCGCGAGCCGCGGTACCAGCCCCTGAGGCGGCGCCAGCCACACTAGCCAGCCTCGCGGCAACCGGCAATACAGTGCGGGGCGGCGCGAGCTGTTTGCCCTCCCCGGACTGGCGACAAGTGCGGGCGGAAGTGAGCTCTGCGGTTGGGCAGGAGGGGTCCAACTGAGATTCCAGAGTGCCACAGTTTATCCCGGGAACATAGTAGTTAGCGATGCCCAGCCCATCCACCCGGCCTTCTCCACAGCAGCTTCACTCCTACTTTGTACCAGGAGAGAGTGAAAGCAGGGGCACCATGTTGGTTAAGGGCAGAGCTGTCATAGGATCTCGGAGCGCATGCGCCTCAGCGTACACTACCTTGGCCATAGAGGAGACACAGAAGTCCGTTGAGTTGACGTAATTATGCTGCGCCGGAACAGGCGGGTCACGCGGGGAAGCTGGGTGCTTGGTGTACGTAGAGGTAACGCGGCCTCCTTTCCAGCGGCCTTCACCCCCTCGTCTCCCTCGCAGCACGGACAAGAGCGAGCGGTGGGAGCTGCTTATCCCCTGGCCTTCCTTCCAGCTCATCCTTCCTTCCAGCTCATCCTTCCTGGGCCTTTCCCCCCGTCGCCCCGTCCCCCGCTCCTTGCCTATAGTTATTTCCCTTCCCCCCACGCCGGCCTTCTTGCTAGCTATCGCCTTCCCTGCTCACCCCGCTCGAGCCTCCCCCTCCGCGCAGGCCTTACCTCCAGCCCTCTCCCCTTCACCTGGGCCTTCCCTTCAGCCACCCCACTCACCCCGCCCCCGCTCGGGCCTTACCTCGAGCCATCTCCCTCACCCAACCTCTCCCCCCGCATCGGGCCTTCCCTCCAGCCACCCTGCCCCCCCCCCCCGGCTAATCCTCCCCCTGGGCCTTTCCTACCATTCCCCCGCTAACCTCCCTCATGCCGTCCTCCTCACACACACCCCAGGCCTTCCCTACAGCCACCCCCAAACACCCCCCCCTTTCCTGGTCTTCCATCCAGCCATACCTGTCAGGTCCTTTCCTCCAGCCACCTGCACTCCACTCACTTCCCTTTGCAGGGGCCCTTTCATACGGCCACCCTCTTCCTGCTTACCCCCTGGGCCTTTCCTATACCCCCCTCGATCCCCAGTCACCACCACTGGCTTTTGACTACAGTCACTTCCACACAAACCCACTCTCATCCATCCCATGGGGGGAGGAGGGGAGAGCTTTGCCTACAGCTGCCCATCGTTCCTCTTGCTCATCCCCACCACCAGGGGCCTTTGCCTATGACTGCCACCCCCAACTGTAAACCTCCCCTACGGCCATGTCCTACCCCTGTGTGCACGCAAAGAGCTTTGTTAGATGTGCTGTATAGTTTTAAAAAGATCCCTGCTGCCAAGAGTTTACCATTTAAAATCATATTAATATATTTAACATCATTGATCTTTGCCTCCACCACAAAATTTGAACAAATCATGTTTGGTTTAAAATAGAGGCGATGCTTCTTATCACACTTTGAATTGGAATGACAAATTGCTGAAATACTTAATATATTTGTGTTGTTTCAACCATAATATGTAAAGCTGTTTACAAAGCCTCAACAATTTTAGGCCCTAGCCTACAATATGATTCATATAGGTGCCAGGGTCCTTCCAGGTGGGTCCAATTGCAGGAGCAGAGCTTTAGACATACTTGCTGATGACTCCAACTAATAAGGGTAAACATGGTCATCAAGCACATTAGTAAATTCAAGTTAGCTAAAGTTCAAGCCCTGGGAAGTCTGGACCAGCCACAGATCTCCAACTCCTGGTATGTGACGTTCTGTAAAAGCATTCTGCTAGCAGTGTCACATGCAGGTATGTGCCACCTTGCAACCCCATAGTAAAGTAAGTGCCGTGTATAAGGAATTCAGCATGGTTTTATCATGTTCTTTATATCCTATTATACTAAAATGTAAAATATTTTACAGACCCACTTTTTTAAAAACGTGTGGGTTTATAAATACTAGCAAGGTTTTTTTAAAGAAAATCCACACTTTTTCAAAGTGGCTTTCTTTGCCCCATAGAGTGGGTTGGCAGTGAGGTTCTAGGACAGGTGTACCAGCAGACTGCAAGCAGTGGTGTCACACGCAAGAAGCTGGAGACTGGTGGTGATTCGTACTTTAGGACCAGCAATGGGGCCAAACGAGCAAAAAGTTTTACCTTACACAAATGCTGAATTCCTCCTCTGATGAGGCTTCCAGCAACTTCAGAAAAATGCTGAATACAGTTTTTTGCACATCACATTTTTATAGTTTTAGATGCTGGTCTCTTTTACCTGAAAATTCAATAGCTAAAGTCAAAGCACCAAAGAAAGTTCCTCAACCTTTTCTCTCTCAATGGCTCTGAACAACAGGTTACTTCCTCCCTTCTGATCTCATATTTAAACTTGTTCACTTCATCCCTCAATTAACTCAGTTCCTCCGACCTCCACCAGTTTACATCATTCTGGCTTCACTGACACTAGACTGGTGGAGTCCTTTTTTATTTTTTCATTTCAGTTTTTCCATATCTCATCTTTGTATGTTTCCTTTCTGCTTATGTGGGTAGTGCTGTATATAGCTAAACGATTGTATTTGTTCTGCTTACAGTGATGATGTTACTTCATGCAAACCCCACCATTATCAAAATAAGCTTATTGTTTAGGAAGAATAGAACTTTGTCTTATACAGCAATTTTCTTACTCTAGGTATCTGTGTGCTTTACAAAGCAGTTTAGTGACTGTGTAGTCAGAGGAAGTAGTCATGCTGTAAATGGTAGATTTCACACAGCTTGGAACCTTAGAATTTGTTTTATGAAAAGGGAGTGTTGGCCAGGATATTAATGCTTGGTCACACTAGGAACTTATGTCAATATAACACCACACCTCTGAGTGACAGTTAACAGACCTAACCCCCGGTGTAGACAGCGCTATGTTGACGGGGCGGAGGTGGGGGGGTTCTCCCATCAACATAGCCACTGCCTCTTGCGGAGGTGGAGTACCCACACAAATGGGAGAAACTTTCCTGTCAGCATAGGTAGCATCTTCACTAAGTGCTACAGAATTCAGCTGCACTGCTTCAGCTCTGAAAGTGTAAACAAGTCCTGAGATTTTTCCCCTACTCTTTTCAGTAAGTGCAATAGAAACTTTAACTTATGTGTTGTGATAGCACCTAGATACCCCAGTCAGAGACTGTGACCCCATTGTGCTGAGCGCTATATGCACATAATGAAAAGACAGTCCTTGTTGCAGGGGTTGCAGCTGAAGTAACTTCCACCTAGACAGCTACTCAAGATAAGCAGAACGTGATTTAATTTAGTTCATGTACCGGACAGAGCACTTCTCACAATAGAGCAACCAGGGGATGATGCAAAACATCAATAGTGTTTGAGCCCAAGTCCCAATTAATGTGCTTACCTATACAGGTGTCTGTTTTACCTTAGGGACACTAGTATCCCATTCAGTACATGTCACTGTGTCAGCCAAGCATGCTTTCATTCTTAATTTTTTACTGTAATAGGAAAAACCCTTCCCTAACATCAATTTGTTTTCTTTCACAGACTCCTTTGAAGTATCATGGCAGTCAAGTGGACTAATGGACATTCCTCTTCTATACTGTGCTTGAATGTAAACAAAGAAGGGCTGGTAGCTTCAGGAGCAGAGAGAGGAGAACTCACAATCTGGAATGAGGAGGGGATTCATTTAGGACAGATACAGCTCCCGAGGGCAGATGATGTCACCTGTGTTGTGTTCTCTCCCACCTATCCCAGCAGGCTGTACACCTCCCATGGTGAAACCATTAGTGTATTGGATGTCAGATCCCTTAAGGGGCCAGTTGAATGCTTTCGTCTGAATGAAGAAGAGATCAATTGCCTGTCAGTGAATGAGATAGACAGTGTCCTGGCTGCTGCAGATGACTCTGGGGCAATAAAAATTATGAACTTGGAAAACAAGAAAGTCAGCCGGTCCTTGAGGAGGCATTCAAACATCTGCTCCTCAGTTGCCTTTCGACCTCAGCGCCCTCAAAGCCTTGTGTCTTGTGGACTGGACATGAAGGTGATTTTTATAGTAGATGGTGGATGATGGCTAGAGATCTTAAAATATCAACCGGATATGAGTAATTGGATGATAGTTAATGTGGCTCTCCAACACTCCTAATGTGGTCCCACCATAATAGCCAGCAGTATAGTGAGGATATTCATAATGCTGTTTTCTGCACAGTAGTTGCATTGTTTCTATTGTTGCCTTCCTTTATTATAAAAGAGTTGGGAAAGCAGGAATTAGAGCAGTGATACTCAGACTGAGGCTCGCGAGTAGCAAGTGGCTCTTTAATGCGCCTCCTGTGGCTTTTTTCAGCACATATTAAAATACTATGATTTTATTATTAACCAATCAGAATGCACTTTTACTATGTTATTAACCAATTTTAGTTGATAAAATAATACTTGGTCACTCATTTTGCTGTGATAATTATTTGTATATATTTATATATAATATAAACCCATTCATATTTAAATATGAATGTATAGCACTATAGTAAATGAAACAATGAATTCACACTACTATGACTCTTTTGGGTAATGTTGATCACCAATTTGGCTTCTGAACCACTGAGGTCTGAGTGTCACTGAATTACAGTATTCTTTCAAAGGGGGTGTGAGAAGTGGCAGCAGAGCTAAAAAAAGCAACTAGCCTAAGACAGAGAGGAACAGCCCTTGGATAGTTGTGGCTGAGAACTTCAGTCTGTCGTCAACAAACAGATCACAGGTCAAATCACCCAAAGCCTGAATTAGCCAAGACTCAGAGGTTCTGTCTGGTGTGAAGAAAGGGGAAAAATCATGACAGAAGGTGGCTGTAAAGAGCTTGCACCACATTAACTATCATTGTTTTTCTTTATGCATACTGACTTTTTCCAATATTGCAAATATATTAAATATTGCAAACAGAACTTTGTGAGTGGTTTGCAAAAAGGGTTAACCTTTGATACTACTGTTCTGACATTTAATACAGATTAGTTAAAAGCACATTTGACTGATACATACAATGATAACGAGGTTTTTGTTTAAAATTTAATGGGTTATTCCTTTGTTTTAATAACCTCTTGAAAGTTTAAATGAAATCAATTACTTTTTTTAAATTGTCCTTCCTCTACCTCACTTCAAATTCCAACTTTAGGTTTACTGTTTAGGACTAGATTTCTTTTTTTAAAGAAAAATATTTAAATGTTACTGAATCACATGGACTTTGCAAAAAGATAGGGGGAAAGTCAGTTTGGGAGTATACCCTAACTTTGACAATGTACCCTTTATTAATCCTCCAATGATAAAACATGACTCAGGTTATTCTTTGAGCATAGAGATGCTGGGGTCTGTTTTTTTTTCTTGAAGGCAAAATCCACTGGGGGAGTGATATAAACTTAATGCAAACAACATTCCAAACATTGCAGTACCCAGGTTTTGATAGCTTATTAGGGTGTAGTCCTGCAAATAGGCCCCTTGACGTTAAAGGACTACTTTTGTATGGAAGGGCTTTCAGATTCAAAACCTGACACTGGATGCGTATTTCCAGGATATCCTGAGGGGTGGGGTACTCCTGGAACTGGCATAGCCATCTCTACAGGTCACTGCTATTTTATTTACTTGCCTCTAAGTTTTGAGAGGGGAAAAAAAACAGCTTTGAGTGTTCATCCTATGACTTTAGCTGCATATATACTAATTCCCACGAGCACTATCACATTTGTCATGTTCTAGTTAAGGTGATAGTGTTCATTATAAACCTCAATTTTTGAATTCATAATGTAGCTGTAATTCAGTAAAGGCAGACTTTTTTATATAGTGGTTAAGATTTGGAAACCTGGTTGCCTAAAGTTCCTAAATCTATAGTTAAGTACTTTGAGAAATAATTTTCAGAAGTGCTGAGTACCCAAGAAATCAATTGAAGTTAATGGGAGGTGCAGGCACTCAGCACTTTTGAAAATCAGGCCATTTATTTTAAGGTGCCTAAATATAGATTTAGGAGCTTAACTTTACACACCAGGTTTGAATATTTTGGTCAGAGTCTTGTCCTTTTATATGTCTTTTTCTCACGTGCTGGGGGTGGGGTGGGGGAGAGAATAGATGTTTTTACAGTTTCTGAAGCTTCCTTGTGTTCCTGTAGCTCAGTAGACTCATAGACTTTAAGGTCAGAAGGGACCATTATGATCGTCTAGTCTAACCTCCTGCACAACACAGGCCACAGAATCTCACCCATCCACTCCTGTAATAAACCCCTAACCTATGTCTGAGCTATTGAAGTCCTCAAATCATAGTTTAAAGACTTCAAGGTGCAGAGAATCCTCCAGCAAGTGACCCGTGCGCCACGCTGTAGAGGAAGGTGAAAAACCCCCAGGACCTCTGCCAATCTGCCCTGGAGGAAAATTCCTTCCTGACCCCAAAGATGGAGATCAGCTGAACCCTGAGCATGTGGGCAAGATTCACCAGCCAGTAACATCATTTTTTTTGCATTACCACCTAACACACATCCTAACCCTGTTGGGTGGCTCATCCATAATTCTGACTTGCAGTACTGGAAGTCAAATAATGCTCCATTTGGAAGCATATTTATTGCAATATGGGGATTTTGCAGGTGGTAGAGTCTTATTAAGTTTTATCATCTGGAGATGTGTTCTCACCAGATTATGATAATACAGGAAACGATTCTGATCATCTTGTATTGTCTCTTCAAATAAGTGAACTCAAATGTTCAGTGAGGTGAGTATGGAATTTGGGTTGTGGTCCCCTCCCCCCAACTGATAATGGGAACTATGCAGGTAAATCCCTGTGTGCTGTTTTGGAGACTTAGGCGGTTACTGTTAAAGGGCCACTACCTGTTAAAATTGATAATGTTTCATTTTTATATTTTACCCAGCCTTGCTAGAGAAACTAGACTGGCCTGTTTCTAGTCAGTTTCACTTCTCATGCAGTAGCGCAATGCTACACTGAGGGTTGCAAATACTGTGGTGTGATAAATTGGGAATATAGCTGTACAATTCATGGATTGTGTATGAGCTAATGAACCCTATGTGTCAGTCAGGCTGCAAACTCCATTTTGAACATGCAGCCTTTTGACTTCTCTATGGTGTACTTCCTTCCATGTTGGGTTAAAAATTCCAAAGGTGGTGTCAGAACAACAGTAGAAGGTAGTTGACTCCTAAGTACCCAATCATAGGAAACCTATTCACTCCAGACAAAAGACTGGTCCTAGCCCAGAAGAACTGCTTAGCAGGGGAAGTCACAGCAACAAAGTCACTTGACAAGGGTTTGCCCTCCTGTGGGGAAGCTGGCAAGGGTGTTGCCTTAAGGGGAGGCTGAAGGTTTGAAAAGGGCAGAGGATGGTCTGCTCAGCTGGGGTTGGGGCCATTTACTGTAGTCTGAGGGAGAAATCACTCACCTTGTAACACCCTGCCTTCCTGGACCCATATGGTACCCCAAGGAAAGGGCCAGCTAGCAAGTGAGGGATCTTGCAATTTCAAATGTATGTGGCCCACCTGTTGATCACTTTAGATAAGCTATTACCAGCAGGACAGTGGGGTGGGAGGAGGTATTGTTTCATATTCTCTGTGTGTATATAAAGTCTGCTGCAGTTTCCACGGTAAACATCTGATGAAGTGAGCTGTAGCTCACGAAAGCTCATGCTCAAATAAATTGGTTAGTCTCTAAGGTGCCACAAGTACTCCTTTTCTTTTTGCGAATACAGACTAACACGGCTGTTCCTCTGAAACCTTTGTATCATGTGTGGCCTCCTGTGCTTTATCTGTTAAAGAGCAATTGTGCTAGAATCAGTGCAAAGCCTGTCTATCAGTATGTGTTAAGCATTCACAATTTTGCCCCGGGAGAGTTCAATGTAATCAGAAGCTTCACACTTTGGATGGAGTTCTGGGAGAGGGGTGTGTTTAAGTATCAGGGGGTCTGACGGGTCAGTGCTGCACCCAGAGGGCCTTAGGCAGCTGGACAGTAGGTTCCAACACTCAGAAGGAGGTGATGGATAAAAGATTTCCGCCACTGTTCCCTCTAAGCTGTGCACGTGTGCGCATGCACACATCCTAAACACCGCGCACACAAAATTTGCACAGAAGCACAAAAATTTGCACAGAAGAAATTTTTTGCGCACACAGCCTGTCAAAAATTAAAGGGAACATTGGTCTGTGCCCTGAGTGTCAAGGGACTCAGATTTGGGACAGTGGCTGGACTCCATTCAGGCTCCAGGAACTTGAAACACCCTGGGGGTCCAGAGCACAGAGGCTTGGATTCCCCTGAACTGTTAGTATGTTATCATGAAATTTGGCTAGTATTTATATAATGTTTTAAATATGTTCAGCATTATCTACAAAGTCATCAACCCCCACTATGAAGTAGGCGTTCTCCCCATTTACAGATAAGGAAATGAAATGGGTAACCAAAGGCGGCAGAGAAAGTGTCTGACTCTCAACACTGTTCTCATTCCCCATTACACTGGTGTGTTCCTTTTTCAGTTTCATAGTTAAAACTGTCAGTGTGTCATGGCTACCACTGCTCAGATGCCTCCGAAAGCATTCAGAGTGGTTTCTTCACCACTTCCACCTTCTCAAGGGTTGAGTCTTAACTCTCCAAAGGAAGGCTGTTTCAGCAGCTGTAGTGCTAAGTCATTTTTTATGGTTTGATTTGAAGGTTATGCTGTGGAACCTGCAGAAAGCTCGCCCACTGTGGACCATGACCCTGCAGGAGAACGAAGCAGAGGGAGCAGAACACCAATCAGCTGGCCAGTTCTTTAATCCTCCCCTAGCCCATTCTCTGTCTGTTGCAGCATGTGGCAACATCTTTGGTTGTGGAGGTGAAGACGGTAAAATCCGGATCTTCAGGGTAACAGGTGTCAAGTTTGAACAGGAGCTGGGGTTTAAGGGTCACACTTTGGGGGTGTCACAGGTCCTCTTTCTGCCAGAAGTATATTGGCTGCTTTCTGGAGGAAATGATGGGAAGGTGTTATTGTGGGATGTCAGCAGTGAAGTTGGGAAGCAACTGAAGAGTCCTGTGAAATCCATCCACAGGAGGAAGGCCAGAACACCAACTTCCACCAAGAGAGATGGAGAGCCCAATGCAATGGTTACAAATGAACATGCCGGAGTTTTACCAAAACTAAGCATAGAACATGGAGAGAAGGTGAACTGGATTTCATATGCAGAGATCAAAGGCTTCAGGAGGGTATTAGTTGCGGATCAGAGCAGCTGTATATCTGTATATCCTCTGACTGAAACCTAGACACACATTGTTTAAGGAAATCTTGGCAAGTAGCTAGTTTTCTGGGTTGTTGTGAGCTGGCCTACCTGGTTCTCTACAGAGTACCCTCCTGTTTGTTACCATGGAGAGTAAACTTCCTGTAGCTTAAATAATTACCAGCTCTTATGCATGTTTAGAAGTGGCCAGGAATTTGCTGTGGCACATTATGCACATAAGTAACATTGCTTTATCTTTTTCAGTAGTGGCACATCTTCACTGTAAATATTTTCTTATGGGGGTTGGAAGATGGTGCATCTTGAATATAGGTGTGACTTTGTTTGAAATGGATTGAGGGGAGGCTCAAAAATGAGCAGACTGAGGCAGGCTCATGCTGCAGGTTGTAACATGCAAACATTGTAAGAAAGAACCTATTCAGTCTGGGAGAAAAATGGTGGCCTTTTCTGTAAAAACTAAATCAATGGGTGTGGTAAGCTTTGCTGCAGGTGTAATTGACTGGAGTCCTCAAACTCCTGCACTATAAGAAAACTACTAATTTTCCTGCTTTGCCTCCTTACCTCTTTAGTTCTTTGCTTTCCCTGTTTCAACATTTCTGGCAAATTAGGCCTAAATTAGACATATTCTCTGATCATCTGAGCTGCAACAACTGAAAATGTGGGTTTCAAGCATGTTTGAACTATTTTTAATTTAATATAGTTAAGAATAATTACAGAAGTGGGTTAAATAGCTAAATTGATTAAAGTTCATCATTAAGTGGGATTTTCAGACTGGAACAACATTGGGGGTGGGGGGAAATGTTAACAGCTGTTTACTTGACTTGTCCTCCTCTGATTTCGTGTCACAGAAGAAAAAATCTTTTAAATCTGTTTTAATAAAAGCTTTCTCCCTCACTGCTCCTTGTGCTCCTGCTTGCTCTTGTATGACTATCCTATGTAACCCTATATGCTGTGCAAAATGTGAAGTTGAGCATTTTATAACTTAAATGCAGAGTATAATAAAAATATAGAGGGCCAAATGCTGCTGTCTTCCTTACACAAATAGTATCACTGATTTCAAGCGTTCCTTGCATAAATAGGGCGAGCAGGTTCTTGCCTTAGGTGGACTGTTAGCTTAAAAATGGGGGGGGGGTGATCAAATGTAAATCCTGTGCCTTGGAAGTTATTTAATAAACTCTCGGCTTTTATGCGATATGCAAATAATTCAGAAATTGTATTTTCCCAGGATGACCTGTATCACTAATGTGCTAAAAGTGCACTACTTCTACAGTTTGGAAACCAATCTGACCAATTAAATTATTTCCATCTCTTTGTTTATACATGTAAACGAGCGATCTTTGCCAAAAATACTGAACTTTGAAGTATTAAATCTGAGATTACTAAAATAAGGTTAATTTGTGTTTGTCAATTAGAAGCTTTTTTTGGTGGCAAGCAGTAAGATAATGGGAGAGATGGATTGTCCTTTTATCGTAAGAAAAGAGCCAAACTGTAACTAAAATACTTAGTAGACATTCCCCTCTGGCTACCAAAATAATCCACTGTACATCTGTGATGTTGCACTCCATATACTTTATGAAAATACGATAATGAGTGTGAATATAATGTAACTAGAATATGCTTTCTGCAAAAGGTCTTTTGTAAGGTATAATTACAAAGCTTATAATCTACTGAATGTTCATCCTATTTGTATGAATGTATCATTTCTATGTCTGGAGTTAGGAGAATAAGATATAAACTTGTATTACTGATGTAAACATGTTAAGTGGAAGACATTAAGGGTGCTTTCAGAATCAATCACCTGTAAATGGCTCTATTTACTTGTAAGCCTTCCTGTGAGTCAGGCCAGAAAGAATGGAGGCTTGGGGTCTCACAGGACATGTGATCATGTCACCTGGTACTGGAATTCATTTTAAACCTGGTGCTTTTGCATTTAGAAGGAGGGGTGGGGACCCAGAGACACAAAAGATTTCCGCCTTTTGCCAAAGCCATAAAAGGGGGTGGGACAGAATAAAGGGGGCTGCAGTCATGAGAAATCCCCTTTGTTACCACCTGAGGTGAAACTAACAAGAAGTGTACCGGGGAAAGGATTGGGCCCAGACTAGGAAGGAGTCTAGTCTGTGAAAGAAGCTTATTGGAACATCTCTGAGGGTGAGATTTACCTGTATTCAGTTTCTTAATGTATTAGGCTTAGACTTGTGTGTTGTGCTTTATTTTGCTTGGTAACTTATTTTGTTCTGTCATTACTTGAAACTACTTAAATCCTACTTTTTATGCTAAATAAAATCACTTTTATTTATTAATTTACCCAGAGTAAGTGATTAATACCTGTGGGAGTAAACAGCTGTGCATATCTCTCCATCAGTGTTCTAGAGGGCGGACAATTTATGAGTTTAGCCTGTATAAGCTTTATACAAAGTAAAACAGATTTATTTGGGGTTTGGATCCCATTGGGAGCTGGGTGTCTGGGTCCTGGAGATAGGAAACCTGCTGAACAGTTTTGGTTAAAGTCTGCAGCTTTGTGGGTGTGGTTCAGACCCTGGGTTTGTGTTGCAGCAGAGTAGCGTGTCTGGCTCAACAAGACAGGGTTCTGGAGTCCCAAGCTGGGCAAGGAAAACGGTGTCAGAGGTAGTTTCAGCATGTCAGTTGCAAGGGGGTCTCTGTGACTGAGCCCATCACAATGGCATAGTTGAACACGATTGTGCACAGCTGATTGCTTTGAGACACTGGCAGTGATTTTAAGTGAGTTTTAAGTGTGCTAGCTGGAAAACCGACAAAGTGGTTACTGGTTTGTTATTTTCTGTTTGTTTATTTCGGGTGAGGGAAATAAGGACAAGAAAACAGGAAAATGACTACCAGTGAGGCAGCCACAAAACTAGAGCTGGCCAGACTGGAAGCGAAAGAGAAGGCAAAGGACCGCAAGTTTCAAATGAGGCTCAAAGAAGCAGCTGCAGCCAGGGAGGAGGCTGCACACAGAAGGGCTATGGAGGCAGAAGCAGCCAGGGAGGAAGTTGCTCGCAAAAGAGCCATGGAGTTAAAGGAGAAAGAGCTTGAAGCCCAGAGGCTAGCATAGCAAGATGCTCAGAAGGAGAAGAAAAGAGAGAGGCAGCTAGCCCTGGAGTTAAAAGACAGAGAAATACAGGCCTAAACTGAGACCCAGAAGCATGAACTGCCTGTAATGGAGTAGAAGAGAGAAAACCTTTCAGCAGCTGGCTCTACTTCCTCAAAAATCCACAAATGGGAATGTTTATGCCCACAGTATGATGAATCCAGTGATATTGCTGAATATTTCATCACCTTTGAGAGACTGTGCACTCTCCAGGCGATTCCTGAAGATCAAAAGATGACCACTGTGGTTGCAAAATTGACTGGGAGAGCTCTGGACGTATTCAGTAAGATACCTATTGATGATGCTTCAAACTATGGTAAATTTAAGGAACTGGTTTTGAAACCGTTTCAGATTACACCTGAAACCTACAGGGTTAAATTCAGAAGTCTTAAGAGGAGATCTGGATTGAATAATGTGGCTTATGCAAATGAAATGAGGGATTTGTTAGACAAGTGGGTGACGGGGAAAGGCATTACAAGCTTTGAAGAAATGTGTTGTTTAATTACTCAGGAACAGTTCCTGAATATGTGCAATGATGATGTAAAACCGTATTTGTGGGACAAAAAGGTGGGTGAATTAGCTGGGTTTGCAGACTCTTATGAGCAGTCACAAGCTGCAATTAAACACAAACCACTGGCAGAGGGGTACAGGGTTGGGGGAAAGCAGAATCACCGTTTTACCCCTGGGAAAAAGGAGGCTGAGCGTTCACCTCTCCACTCCCCGGTTACTCACCTCAGGGCTCCTGGACAACCAGAGGAGCCCAGAAGGTGCTTTCACTGTAATTCCCCAGGGCACCTGAAGAGCAGCTACCCCAAATTAAAGGAGGGTAAACCTCCCTTGTCCCATGTTGGCTTAGTTGCCCTCAGCTCTGAGGCCCCAGAGGGCACTCCCACCTCTTATCACACCAGTTTGGTGGACACAGGGCCTAGTGAAGCGGACAGGGAACACATTAAGGATATCAAGATTGATGGCACGAAGTGTCTGCAGTGGAGGGATATTGTGGCTCAGTTCTCTCTGGTTGGACCAAGTGTGGTTCCAGATGCTAGTGTTTTGATGGGGCAGATGACCCACATTAAGGGGTGGGGCCACAAAGGTTCCCTGTCCCCCGGCAAAGGTTCATGTGGACTCGGAAGGTATGGAAGGTGATATAGCGGTGGGGATGCTCAAGGACATCCCCGCGGACATGTTGCTGGGAAATGATTTTTTCAGCAACACTAGGACTGTTAGTGTGGTAACTTGCAGCATGAAGAAAGGCAGTGAGGGACTCCTAGAGAGGGAGGAGAGAGCACTGTCTGCCAATGAGGCGGCTGTTCTAGCTGATGATTGTAGGTCTGCCGCAGCGCAGCGAACACATCCTACCCTAGGGAACATGGAGTAGGTGACTCGGAGGGAATCCCCAGAAACGGGGTGGGGACCTTGGAACCTATAGAGGAGGTGGCGGAGGGTCCTATTGACAGGCCAATGCAGGAAGGTGGGGTGCTTCCAAGTATGGGAGAGGCAGAGTCAGGCCTCTGCCTGGCTGAAGATGACAAACTCCCAGGAGTGGGTGCAGGGGAGATGAAGTCAGTGCCCAGGGATGGGGATGTTATCTCGAGGGTTGTCTGTCACGAATTTGTAGGTAAACAAAGGGCTGACGCCTCCCTTGAGGCATAAAAAAGTGTGTCTCAGAGGGAACTCCAGGAAGGGAGTGGAGGAGAAGTTTTTTGAAGAGGATGGGAAACTGTATAGGGAGGCCTCTGTAGGGAAGAACCAAGACCCCAGCCAACCCTATAAGCAGTTGGTTGTACCCAGCCAACACCAAAAGGAATTAGTGCTGGTAGCGCACGATAGTCCCTTTGCTGGTCACTTGGGGTACAGAGGACTTATGACAGGTTAAGGAGGAATTTCTACTGGCCTGGGATACAGAATGATGCAAGGGATCATTGTAGAACTTGTGTGGTGTGTCAGGAGAGGAAGAAACCGGTGGGAGCCCAGAAGGCTCCGCTGCGTCCCTTGCCTGTTATTCAGGAGGCATTCCAGAGGGTGGCAATGGACATAGCGGGTCCTATGTCTCTCCCCACTTGGAGGGGGAACAAGTATATCTTAGTTGTGGTAGACTTCACCACTCGGTATCCTGAGGCAATCACACTGTCTAACAGACGCTGAAACAGTGGCAAGAGCCATGCTCACTATATTCAGCAGAGTGGGCTTCCCTCAGGAGATTTTGTCTGATCGGGGGGGCAAATTTTATGTTGCAGTTGTTCAATGAGCTATGGAAGGTGTGTGGAGTGAAACATCTTAAGACGGCCCTCTACCAATCCCAGGCTAATGGGCTGGTGGAAAGGTTCAATGAGACCCTAAAATCCATGCTGGGGATGTATGCCCAGAAAAGGGGCCAGAGTTGGATGAGTTATTGTTGGTCCTGCTGTATGCCTATTGGGAGGTGCCCCAAGAGTCTACAGGATTTTCCCCATTTGACCTTCTGTATGGGAGGGAAGTGAGGGGACCCCTTGATCTCATCAGGGATACCTGGGAAGGATGCACCACGGTGAGGAAAGAACGCATGACTGAGTATGTTCAGAGGTTCAGGAGGGAGTTGAAGGACATGATGGAAATCGTCCAAAACAATCTCCTTTGCAGTCAGGCTAAGCAAAAGGTGTGGTATGATAAAAAAAAATACTTGTATACGCACTTTTGACATAGGAGATTTGGTCATGGTACTCAGCCCTGCAAAAAAGTTCAAAATGTAAAACTCCTGGGAGGGGCCGTTTGAAGTGGTGGAAGTGGTGAATGAGGACACTTACAAAGTTCAAAAGCCCCTTGATGATACTGTGCCCCAACTGGTACATGTGAACCGACTCAAGGCCTATCACAGTAGAGTGACCGGGGTAAATATGGTCTGTTGTGTCAAAGAGGAAACTGAGGCACACCCACTTACTGATTTGATGGCTGAATGCCAAGATGGGTCAACTTTGGAAAGTATGGAAATTTGTAGTGATCTGACACCAGTCAAAAAGGGGGAAGTGTTATCAACGCTGCAAAGGTACAGTGAGGTATTTTCCAACAAACCAGGGAGGACACACTTGTCCCATAGACTCCTCATGAAAGGGGCTCAGCCCACCGCCTTCCAGGCTTTACAGGGCCACCGGCAAGGTGAAGGAGCAAATTCGTGCTGAGATACAAAGCATGTTGGAGCTCAGGGTGATTAAGGAATCTGACAGTGCATGGGCTTCCTCTGTGGTCTTGGTCCCCAAAAGGGATGGAACTGTAAGATTTTGTGTAGACTATAGGAAACTCCATGCTGTCACAGATACATACCCCATGCCAAGAATTGATGACATGCTGGATATGCTGAGCCAAGCCAAGTACCTCAGTATCTTTGATCTAACCAAAAGTTACTGGCAGATCCCTTTGGAGGGGGAGGCTGTGACGAAGTGGGACTGTTCTTAATGTTTCCTCTGAATAGTGTGGGGGTGCCTCAGTTTCCCCTAGGCAGTTCTTAAGTATCTAGGGGGTGCAGTAAGGGTGTATGATCATTGCAGAGCCCTAGAGGGCAGGTGTGTGCAGGAGTCTGGACACAGAGAATGGCCAACACCCTGTTTCCTGGCCACTGATGGCCTGGGCCCTTCCCCCCCTGCAAGGTGAGAGCTAAAGGGTTGGAGAACAAAGGAATCAGGTGACCACCTGGCCCGGGAAAGGAACAAAGCCCAGAGGAGGAGGGGCTGGAGGGGGTTTTCAGTTTGGGGCTGGCTGGGACATGGAGTGAAGTGCAGACGTGGTTGTCTGGCTCACTGCCCCCCAAAATGGACCCAGCTGAGGGGTCCTGTTCTCTGCACCTGCAAGCTCTGTTTTAGACCATGTTCCTGTCGTCTAATAAACCTTCTGTTTTACTGGCTGGCTGAGAGTCACGCCTGACTGCGAAGTTGGGGTGCAGGACCCTCTGGCTTCCCTAGGAGCCCCGCCTGAGCGGACTCGCTGGGGGGAAGCGCACGGAGGGGCAGAGGATGCTGAATGCTCCGAGGTCAGACCCAGGAAGGTGGAAGCTGTGTGAGCTGTGTGTCCTGAAGACAGGCTGCTCACAGAAAGGCGACTACCCCAGAGTCCTGACTGGCTTCATGGGGAGCAGCTCCGTGACAGAGGCACAACAAAAATCAGCTTTTATCACTCTATGCATTTACAGTGTTACCTTTTGGTCTGGTAAATGCTGGTGCAACCTTCCAGAGACTGGTCAACAGAGTGTTTAATGGTTTGCAGAATTATGCTATGGCATATATAGATGACATTGCTATATTCAGCAACACCTGGGGGGATCACAAGGAGTACCTGGAAATTGTGCTATCAAAGCTCAAAGAAGCTGGGCCAACTGTGAAACCCTTTAAGTGCAAGATAGGGGCAGCCAAAGTCCCTTATCTAGGGCACAGGGAGGGGGCCAAAATATCCCCCGACCCTCTTAAGGTAGAAGCCATCGTAAAATGGCCAGTACCCCCAAACTAAAAGGCAAGTCCAATCCTTCATAGGCTTGGCAAACTATTACAGGAGGTTTGTGGAGGGGTTCAGTGACATAGTATCCCCAATCATAGATTTATGTAAAAAGCATCAACCTAATAAGGTAATTTGGTCAGAGGTGTGCCAGAAAGGCTTTGACAAAATAAAAGCACTCGTGTCTGCAGAGTCTGTGCTGGTCAGCCCTGACTTTGATAAGCCTTTTGAATTGTGTACTGATGCATTAGACACAGGGTTGGGTGCTGTGTTGATGCAGGACAGAGGAAGACAGCAAGAAGCATCCCATTGCCTTCCTAAGCAAAAAGCTGTCCCCTGCTGAACAGAATTACTCGATCATAGAGAAGGAGTGCTATGCCATTGTGTGGGCCGTCAAACATCTAAGGCCTTAACTCTTTAATAGGAGGTTCAGGATTCTAACTGACCATTCACCTTTGGTATGGCTTAACTGGACTAATGGCACAAACTCCAAACTGCTATGCTGGAGTCTGGTCCTGCAGGAATTTGAGATGAAGAGTATAAGGTTATGCATATTAAACGAAAGGAGAACTGGGTATCAGATGCCCTGTCCAGAAAAGAGGAATTTTAGGTATACTGCTTCCACTGTGGACAGTGTCCAAGTCTCTGGCAGTAAGTTCAGGAGGAGGGTGTGACGTTGCACTCCACATGCTTTATGAAAATATGCTAATGAGTGTGAATATAATGTAACTGGAATATGCTTTATGCAAAAGGTCTCTTGTAAGATATCATTACAAATCTTATAATCTATTTAGTGTGTTCATCCTATTTGTATGAATGTATCATTTCTATGGGCTTGGCTACACTTGCAAGTTAGAGCGCATTAAAGCAGTCCCAGGCGCCCTAACTCACGACCCGTCCACACTGGCAAGGCACTTAGAGCGCCTGGACTCTGCAGCTGGAGCGCTCTTGGTAATCCACCTCCATGAGAAGCATAACACTTGCTGTGCCTTGGCTGAAATGCCCCAGCGTCAGTGTGAACGAGGTGTTGCATTACTGCACTGCGATCGGCCTCTGGAAACATCCCATAAATAAAACATCCCATAAAACACCCCTTAAATCAGATGGCCACTCTTGTCATTGTTTTGAACTCAGCTGTAGGAATGCCGATATGCCCTTTCAAAGCTTCGTTTCTGACGGCCGGCTGCTTATCTGCTCCGGGACAAAGCAACCATTAGTGTGGAATGTTGCTGCTGTGAGTGTGTGTGAGAGAGAGGCGAGGGAGCGGGGGGTCTGCACTTACAAGACAGCATGCTGACATGGTCTCAGCCCCTCGAAAACCAACTCTCTCTTCCCCCCACATACACACAACACACTCCACTCTACCCTACTCCCCACCCCATTTGAAATGTACGTTGCAGCCAGTTGCATGCTGGGATAGCTACCACAATGCACTGCTCTCTGTGGCATTGCAACAGCTGCTAACATTGCCGCGCCAGTGCGCTTGAATCTGACAGCATGGACATACTGCAGCGCTTTCCCTAGTATGCTCTCCGAGGGCTGGTTTAACTCACAGTGCTCTACATCTGCAAGTGTAGCCATGCCCTATGTCTGGAGTTAGGAGAATAAGATATAAACTTGTATTACTGTTGTAAACATGTTAAGTGGAAGCCATTAAGGGTGCTTCAGAATCAATCACCTATAAATGGCTCTATTTACTTGTAAGCCTTCCTGTGTTCCTGTGAGTCAGGCCAGAAAGAATGGAGGCTTGGGGTCTCACAGGACATGTGATCATGTCAACTGGTACTGGAATTCATTTTAAACCTGGTGCTTTTGCATTTAGAAGGAGGGGTGGGGACCCAGAGACACAAAAGATTTCTGTCTTGTGCCAAAGCCATAAAAGGGGGTGGGACAGAATAAAGGGGGCTGCAGTCATGAGAAATCCCCTTTGTTACCACCTGAGGTGAAACTAACAAGAACTGTACCAGGGGAAAAGATTGGGCCCAGATTAGGAAGGAGTCTTGTCTGTGAAAGAAGCTTATTGGAACATTTCTGAGGATGAGATTTACTTGTATTCAGTTTCTTAATGTAGTAGGCTTAGACTTGCGTGTTGTGCTTTATTTTGCTTGGTAACTTACTTTGTTTTGTCTGTTATTACTTGAAACCACTTAAATCCTACTTTTTATGCTTAATAAAATCACTTTTGTTTATTAATTAACCCAGAGTAAGCTGGGGGAACAAACAGCTGTGCATATCTCTCTATAAGTATTATAGAGGGGGGACGATTTATGAGTTTAGCCTGTATAAGCTTTATACAAAGTAAAACATATTTATTTGGATTTTGGATCCCATTGGGAGCTGGGTGTCTGGGTGCTGGAGACAGGAAACCTGCTGAGCAGTTTTGGTTAAAGTCTGCAGCTTTCAGGGCGTGGTTCAGACCCTGGGTCTGTGTTGCAGTAGAGTAGCATGTCTGGCTCAACAAGACAGGGTCCTGGAGTCCCAACCAGGCAGGGAAAATGGGCTCAGAGTTAGTTTAAGCACGTCAGGTGACAGTCGCAAGGGGGTCTCTGTGACTGAACCCGTCACAACGTCTTATGCATCAGTAAAGATTAAAAGATTCCTTACAATTGTATATGCTTTATCTTATTTTTTTATCCTTTGCTTTTGAATATTTAACACTCTTACATTTCCATGGTGACAATAAAGTAATGCCTTCTATCAGATGTGCATTTCAAGGTATAAGGGTATCATCTCTATGGCAGTGTGAATCTTTGTGCTGCTCTCATCTTTGTGATCCTCATATCCTGAGCAAAAGGACAGTCGACACGCTTCTGGAATTAACTTTTTAACAATTAGGAAGTGTCTCACTCAACAGTTCAAAAAAATAGAGTTAAAGTCCCTCACGGCAATGCAGGAAGCTATGGGAATAGGGGGAACAAGAAATAAGGTGGGGGGTAAGAAAGTGGTATGAGGAGAGACAAGAGGTAACCAAATAATTAAAAGGGAGAAAAATTGAAAGGCAATGACATTGCAATGAAAGACAGGTAGGAGAGAAGGAAAAAGAGAAAGAAATGGTGCACAATGTTAGGGCTAGCAATTTATGTTCATTTTTAGCTCTTTACTCACCCAGCCCCATGCTGGCTCCTTCTATCTCTCTGCACTACCACAGTTCATTGGAGGGACAGGCATGGTAGGGCCCAGCCTCCAGTCTGAGGATGAAAAGGAGAGCCAGAGATTAATCAAAAATTATAAAAAGCCCCATTTCTCTCTCTTTTTTCAGATATAGTGATGCTAGTCTGCTAGCACACAAATGTTTGTAGTGTCCAGAGTAGCATGGACAAACATGATAGCTAACAAGTTAGCTGGCAATCAACTAACGTTTGTAGCAAAAACCTTTGATTCTTGTGATGTCAGAAGCTGGTCCAATAAAAGACATTACCTCACCCACCTTGTCTCTATATAAAAGCCAGGTATTTTTGTTCTGTTTGTCCACCAGCTAGCACAATGGAGCCCTCGTCCATAAATGCTACAGTAATACAAATAATAATATATCAGGAAAAAGCTGAACAGGGCACAACCCCCTTTTCAGATCACCTTTAAATAAGAGTAATTCATATACAAAGAAAGACAAGTGGGGTGTTTGTGTTGGAGGAGCTGCACCAAATTCATAATTCATTAAGTAACATGTTTGTGTGTTTCTGAACTATATTTGGATGTACTGGCTATAAAAAGCCTTCAGTGGAAAGTGACCTTTAGCAGAAGTCAGATCTCCTGTCCATGCTGTTGCTGACTGCCCACAAGAGAGAAGATTCAAGCCTATTAAAATTGCATTTCTTCTCTTCTTGTTCCCCATGAGGATGACCAAAGAGGCCATATCTCTGCACTCCCTGAACAAGACATTAAACAGGTCACAAAGGGCTGTGTGTGTTAGTACTACAAGGAGGAACAAGGCAAGGCTCCATTGTGCTGGGAAGGGGCTATAGCAAGATGGGCAAGGGACGAAACTAACAACTACCGGAGTGACAGGTCTGTATATTAGATGAGCCTGTACTTGTTTCTTAATTCTTTATGGGAAATAGAGGGGGTATAAACATGAACTTAGCAGCTGATGGGCCTCAGATCACAAGGAGTCTCCTTGTTTCTCCTTTATCTCTGAAAACAACCAACCGCCTGTTTTGTGAATAAGCTTTTGCATATAGTTCGCAAGTATTTAACCCTGTGACCAGGGTGCACAAGTGCTTTGCCATCAGCCTGAATGCAACCTCTTGATCCCCAATCATAAATGATCTCTTTTTTTAAATGTTGCAATTTGGTTATGGACCAGCAGGAAATTCTAATATTTCCATATTGAACCATATGCTAATGTTCTGATAAGGTCCATTTCTGAACAAGTGTTTTTAGGAGAGCTCAGGCCCAGGATGGGTTAGAGGCAAATAGCTCAGAACCCAGTGGATTCAAAAGACAAGAAAGGAAGGAAGGCACCTCACAGAGGAAACTCTACTTCATATTGTGTATCTCATCAATTGCCTGGTCACATATAACCACTTTCTTTAATTTGCAGACTATTTTTCTAATTTAAATAGTTAACCGTTCATATTAAAATTAGAGGAGAAGGAAAGAAAAAGATTTGAAAATGCTCCTATAGTTACTGGAGATGGTTAAAAAATAGTCCCTTTTAAAAAAAAATAGTTTATATGCGGAAATCCCAGGTCTGACATTATTCTGCAAATGTTATATAACAAGGGAAGCTTGAGTATGTGTAAAGCTGGTGTCTGCTTAAATAAATATCATTGTAGTAAAAGTGGCTGCTGTAAAACAAATATATTATTGCTGCTGGGATGCAGTATTTCAATGAACATTTCTAATATCTCAACATCTTCATATTTGTATGCAGATTATTTGTATTATGGAAGTACCTAGGAAAGGAACCCCAAAGATCAATGCCCCACTGTGCTAGACATGATAGAGACAATTAACAAAGAAGATAATCTTTTCCCCAAAGATCTGACAGTCTACGTGTCAGGACACAAGTCCATGAACACACACACCTGGAATATGAACATCTATAGCTTAGCTCTAAAACTAATAAAAATGATGGTGTCTGATTTTCTGGAAAGGATCTAAACTCGGAAAGAAAAGCCATCAGCATTAAATAATGTATTTTTTAAAAGCCTCTTTTTTCCATATAGTGTTCAATAACCTTCATAAGAACGTGAGCTCTGTTTTTACTGGATGTATTCTAAGTGCAGTGCTGTATATTTACAGGAAGAGCAGCAGGAAGGTTTTAAAAGCTTTCTTGTAAAGGATCAGGATTTGTTTTGAGCTTGTACAGAATAAGATTGACACAAGGTGGTATTAATTTAGTAGCAACCTCATTGGTTACCACTTTCAAAAAGTAAAGAGACTCATCACTCTATAATCTGAGTGCCTCACAATTATTAATAAATTCTCATAAAACCCCAGTGAGATTAGGAAATCTAACTAGTCCCATTTTACTTAAAAAAACAGGCACAAAGTTCTCAGGGAAGAGACCCACCAGGGATCTCATCACCAGATGAGAGATGCCAATGCCAAGCTCCTGAGGTGGAGTCTGTCCTTTCAGGATTATGAGATGGAGGTGGTCCATGTTAAGGGGAGTGCAAATGTTATAGCTGATGCTTTGTCCCGGAGAGGGGGGCCTGAACTTCCCCCGATCACTGGGGAAAGTGACCCCACTCAGTTCAGTCTCGAAGGGGGGAGAGATGTGACAAAGTGGGGATTTTCCCTTGTTATGTTGTATGTGAGCCTATGTGAGTCTTACTGTTTTGCATGAATGCTGTGCGTACCTCAGTTTCCCTATGTATTGCACCAATGTCTAGGTGGTAGGAATAAGGGGATGTGACTTTTGCGGAGGCTGTTCCAGCTGCCTGCACTGATGCTATAACCGCCCCTTCATAACCTGAGACCCAGGAGGGGGATGCGACCAGGTGACTCTTGGCCCAGGAAGCGAGACAAAGGCCAGAGGAGGAGCAACAAGCAGGGCAGGGGCCAGACAGCTGGAAGCGAGTCAGTCTAGGCTGGCTTGGGGCTCAGGGGGAGGACCAGAGCCCTGGCTCTGGGCTCTCTTCCCCCCAAGATGGACTTGGGTGAAAGTCACTGATTTCTGTGCTAACAAGTTCTGTCCTATGCTGTGTTCCTGTCGACTAATAAACCTGTTTTACTGGTTGGCTGAGAGTCACGTCTGACTGCGGAGTTTGGATGCAGGGCCCTCTGGCTTCCCCAGGAGCCCTGCCTGGGCAGACTTGCTGTGGCAAGCACACGGTGTGGAAACAGATAATGAATGCTCCGAGGTCAGACCCAGGAAGAAGCTGTGTAAGCTTCTTGCTCTGGAGACATTGTGCTCAGAGAGAGGAGGCATGCTCCCCTAGAGTCCTGACTGGCTTCATATGGAGTAGTTCCAGACCACTGACCCGGTGACTCCATGACACAAAGTGTTTGCTGACAGCTATTCCTTTGAGTATCTAGTCTGTGAGCTATGTGATTAGTCACTTAAATCATAGTATTGTTCCTATTCTCTAATTGATATCTAAGGGTTTGAACTCTTACTCCTTCACTGCTAATGAAGTACTACTGTACTGCTGGAGCTGGTGTGCTGACTATTACATTAAGGAATAAGTGTGATAACCAGCCACTAGAAGGGGACAAAGACCCATTCTACTGAAATGAGTTACTCTGACCTTTGTAAACTAATTCTATTTCTGCCCAACATGAATTTCATTTTCTCATTAAACAAATTTCCTTTGTGATTAAACAAATCTCTGTTACTAGCCTAAAATTCCCTTTTGGCAAACATTTATATGAAAATGTTTACACTTTTATGAGTAAAATGAGATGTAAGCATGGTTAACACAAAATTTTATTTGAAGTTAGTTGCCAAAAAAATTCTCATTGTATATTACAGAAAAAAAGGGGGTGGAAATCAGCTGTTAATAGGTTTGAGTATCAACTGTTCCTACCACCTAAAGTGAAAAGAGACAGAGATTATGCTATGACCTGAAAACTACTGGATATTTTGACATTACAAAAACATCAGATAAAGGTGAAAAAATAGACCAGGAAATGTAATATTTGTAAGGCAAAGAATTATACTCTTAGTCTAGGGAGCTCACCAAATGCAACAGATCTCAAAGTCTTTGGAGCAGGACCAGTCTTTTCATTCTGTGTTTATACAGTCAGTGCCTTGCATAATAGGGTCCTGGTCCATGACTTGGGCTCCTCAGCACTATCGCAAAATGAATAAAACAGTAGTAAGAATACCCATGGACCAGACTGCTGTGGAACAGAGACTTGCAATTCAATAGCTGTTAGGTGCCATAGACAGTTTTTCAAGATAGCCTGAAGTTCATTCCAATAAAAAAAATAAATCAAGGCTAACTGAACTTCTAATTAATCAATACTTGGCCAGTTGTGGGATCCCTTGTTATTTTTATGAAATCTAGGCAAAAAACCTTTCAGTCTAAAGTGTTTCAACAGCTTCACGATCCTAGAAATACCCGAAAGTTGCACCTCGGGAGAACAATCTAACTGGGATCTTAGGAACTTAGTTAAGCTGTTACCCTAAATTATTCCTGAGGAACACTATCAAAATGGACGGTAACCAGCATATTCCACGCCTTTACATCTACAGAACAGCAGTGAAGGAATATAAAGCATGTTCCCTGCCTCCTCGTGTTTTGACATAAGTTCAACACAATAGCACCTCATAAAATAAACTTTCTGATAGAGGTCACATGGAGAAACTTTAAAATCAAGATACCTCTTTTAGTTATATTATTCATAGGAAATATGAAAATAGACCACTGTTAGGATATAGATATTCAGGCCTGTCTGCAAAGGCCTGTACTTTAAGAATTTAGGTGTATTCTTGTCGCTTGGCTAGTTCTAGAGGTATAAAAGAAGGAATCAAAATCACTATCTGCTGGTGTAAGGGCCTTCTCTTACTGTGACAGTCTGAGGCCCTGTTCTTAGGCTAAGGCCTTTGGCTAAGCAGCAGAGGCAGCCATAAGCTGGGAAGCGAACGGTCACATCCTCACATTCCAAACTAGTCACATTGAAATAAGGTGCTATTGGGCTGTTAGGCACTATCAGGACAGGATTGTATTCCTATCACCTCCAGAGAAAGGGAAGTGCCTAGAAAATGTAAAAGGAAACTTAGTTTGATAGCATCCTGTCTGGCAAGAACTCACTTATCAATAGCTGGGATGTGAAACCCTCACTTCTGTATTGTCTTGTCATTATAGTTTCCACTTTGCTATTGTTTGTCTGTATAATCTCTGTCTGGTTCTGTGATTGCTCCTGTCTGCTGTATAATTAATTTTGCTGGGTGTAAACTAATTAAGGTGGTGGGATATAATTGGTTACATAATCATGTTACAATATGTTAGGATTGGTTAGTTAAATTTCAGGAAAATGATTGGTTAAGGTATAGCTAAGCAGAACTCAAGTTTTACTATATAATCTGTAGTCAATGAGGAAGTGGGTGGGGTGGGGTGGGGTGGGAAGGGAAGGGAAGGGAATGGAGGTAAGAAAATTGGAATCATGTTTTGCTAAAGGGGGAAATGGGAACAGGGAATGGGAGTAAGGAAGTTGGAATCATGTTTGGCTAAGGGTAGGAATGGGAACAGGGACACAGGTGTAAGGCTCTGTGGTGTCAGAGCTGGGAAGGAGGATACTAAGGAAGGAAACTGGAATCATGCTTGCTGGAAGTTCACCCCAATAAACATCGAATTGTTTGCACCTTTGGACTTTGGGTATTGTTGCTCTCTGTTCACCAGGGAAGTAAGTGGGTGAAGGAATAAACCCCCTAACAACCACTTTCTTAGAAATCAGAAGGAAAACATAACAAGTACTTACTAGCTGGAAATAGCCTTTTTTGTGCTGCAGCTATTTGGTTCTGCCATATTTAAAGAGCCACCTCTAGAAAAGCATGCTGGGGAAATATGTTCCTATAAAAGGAAAACCTTGCAGTAGAAGGACAGGAGTGCTGAGAGCCATAGAACCACCCTATAAGCCATGTATATGATGGAAACCACTTTAAGCCAGGGGGTGTAGTAGCGCCCCTAGTTCTAGCACCTATGTAGGGAGAGTTAGTAGGGACTAGGAAGTCACCAGCCATGGTACTGAAGGAGGCAAGGAAAAGGCTGGTTTTAAGTATTACAGTATTATTTAAGTATTAGGTATTATTGTATTTTCATGGTAGATTTTATACAGGGCTGATTTAAATGTTATATAGGATCAATTTGGGTCCTAAAATGAAACCCTCAATGAGATTAGACTGAGCTTGATAGGTCACTATTAGTAGACATTTAATCTCTTATGATAAGAATGAGGGTGTCTGATACATTAATTCAGATAGTCTTCAAAGACAGTCAAGGTTATGTTATGACTACTTCTAAAGGACCCAGACTACATCAAGCAACTGACGCTCAACTGGCAAACACCTTCAAAAGGAGTCAGAATGACTTCCAAGTAAAATGGAGGAATCTTAAACTGGATCTGAAGTTAGTCATAATGCAGCAGAAATGGAGCCCTCTTTCAGTGTAGAAGTTTAGATATACTGATTCTAATAATGACTCCAGTTCTTATATTCCTTAGGGTGGAAAACAGGCTGCAGATTGTGGAGACTCAGTTCAAAGAGCTGAACTCTGCCATAGATAAACTGACACAGAAGCTGCAGTTTCAGGATAAAACCCTGGAGAAGCAGGTGGACGAGGATGAGATGTGGATATCCTTGCTGGAGGACAGGTGAGCCACAGAATTAAAAAACAGCTCAGTTTCCCCTCCATGCATCAGCTGGGAGATTAGAGAATTGAGAAACGTGTAAATTGTATATGTGCAGGTGAAGATGAATAGGCTTATGCTACATTGAGTGAAAAGAATAAAACTCTTTCTATATCCAGGGATGTGGCTTTGAATTGCCTTTTACCACAAGAGAATATAGTTTGTTGATCTCAGCAAATGCAAGGCAAATTCCATTCCAAGTGCAAAAACTTCTAAATATGCACTAAATATTATTATATCTTAAAAACCTACACCATTTCTAAGAATACCAGAGACACCATATGCTCTTTCAAAATCTTTCAGATAATTGTGTCCCACTATAAGCAGTAACAATCAGAATCTTATTAATGCCCTGGTTTTGTTCTGCTAGCAAATAAGGCCAAATCTTTCACATTTTGGTGCCTGAAGTTAGGCTCCCATATCCATATTTAGACATCTAAATAACAGGCTTTTTTTAAAAGGTCCTGAGCTACTCACAGTTCCCATGGAAAGCAATGGCAGCTCAGGTGCATAGTGCTTTGAAAAACAGGCTACTTTTAGATAACTCTGACCTGATCCTATGAAAACTTACAGATGTGTAACTATGGGCACATAAGTAGTCTCACTGAACTCAGTGGGACTACTTATGAGTAAAATTACACACATGCTTAATCCTCTGCAGAACTGGGGTCTAAATACATGGCAGAGGGGCATTGCTGGCACATGATGGCATATATAACATTAGTAGACGTGCAGATGAATGAGCCCTTGATGGCGTGGCTGATGTGGTTGGGTCCTCTGATGGTGTAGATACATTGGCCAAACCGGACAGTTCCTACATAAAAGAATAAATGGACGCAAATTGGACATCAGGAATGGTAACATACAAAAGCCAGTAGGAGAACACTTCAATCTTCCTGGACATTCTATAACAGATTTGAAAGTAGCTATACTTGAACAAAAAAACTTCAGAAACAGACTTCAAAGAGAAATAGCAGAACTAAAATTCATTTGCAAATTTAACACCATTAATTTGGGCTTGAATAGGGACTGGGAGTGGCTGGCTCATTACAAAAGCAGCTTTGCCTCTCCTGGAATTGACACCTCCTCATCTATTATTGGGAGTGGACGACATCCACCCTGATCGAATTGGCCCTGTCAGCACTGGTTCTCCACTTGTGAGGTAACTCCCTTCTCTTCATGTGTCAGTATATTTATATCTGCATCTGTAATTTTCACTCCATGCATCTGAAGAAGTGGGGTTTTTACCCACGAAAGCTTATGCTCAAATATATCTGTTAGTCTTTAAGGTGCCACCGGACTCCTTGTTGAAAATGATAACTGTGTGTTTGCCTTTTAAGTAGAAGGGTTACTGTGATGTGATGGTTGCATTACCAAGGATTACTGGGGTTACAGATCACATGAATTCTCCACTTATTACCTAAATGGGAATGAACTGAAGTATATGGGAAGTATTTTTGTCTGAGAAGTGGTTTCTGTCTCCATCTCCATGGCAGGTTCACTTCAGTGGAGATAAATCTTTTCTATAGCTATGTCAGTGAAATGCTCTGCTGCTTACATTCCCGTGTCAGAGTGAAGCTGCCAGATCTGGCGGGAGGCCTCCCCACCTTAGCCTCTGTCATGAGGCACAAAGGCAAGAACCAGAAAATTAGACTGGTGTGGGAAGCAGTGCTGGAGATGCTGGGGCTGCAAGAAGGAGATGTCCTAGCTCTATGCACCTTTTTCATCATACATTGCTCTGAAGCACAGTATTACCCAGCTAACCAGAGGCAAAAGTACACCAGTGATATCAGCACAATGATAACCAAGGTGGTGAAGAACCAGATCCTCCAAGAGAGCCTGCTGTGTGCTGTGCAGGTGGTAGAGAATGGCAGAGCACAGAGGGATCCAAAAAAGAAAGTAACCCTTGTCCAAAAATAACCTATGTGGCAGATTTCTTAAAACTCCCTTACCCACTTAGGACAAACAAGCTTACAACCTAAAGAGGTTCCTACATAAACATGCAATTACATATCCCAACTACTTCCGTGCATGTGTATATCAACACACAGATCCATACATACAAACACTCTCAACCATGACATGCTAATCTGTATCATGAGTCTGAAAAGCCAAGCAGATTCCCAGAATCAATACACCAGTCAAAAAGATTTTCATCACCATCATGTACAAGCTCAGTATGTACATGTAAATGTGTAGCCAGAGGCTGCTGGGAAGGACACAAAGATTCTTCTGTCTCTTAGCTAAAGATTTTGACACTTGCATAATGCTGAAGAGTTCAAATGCCAACATTTTCCAGCATAAAATCTGCTTTACTGTACTTTGTATTCTCATTGCATGTCTATGAAAGCTGTAAACTGTAGTATGCAACAGAGACACTAATTTCTTGTAATAAAACTCCTTGGTTTATTGTTTAATGTGTGTTACTGGTCTGTGGAAAATCAGTATTTTCACAGAATCCTAGGAATATAGGACTGCAAGGGATCTCCTGAAGTCATCAAGTCCAGTCCACCATCCTGAGGCAGGACCAAGCATACTTAAGACCATCCCTGACAAGTGTCTGTCCAACCTGTACTTAACTTCCAATGATGGGGATTCCACAATCTCCCTTAAAAGCCTATTTATTCCAGAACTGAACTACCGTTATAGCCAGAAAGTTTTTCCTAATATCTAATTTAAAATCTCCCTGACTGCAGATTAAGCCTATTAGTTCTTGTCCTTCCTTCAGTGAAGATACAGAACAATTGATCACCATCCTCTTTACAACTGCACTTAATGTATTTAAAGATTTACCAGGTCCCCTTCAGTCTTTTTTCAAGACTACACTTGTGCAGTTTTTTTTAACCTTTCCTCATAGGTCAGGTTTTCTAAACAACTTATTTTTTGCAACAACAGCTCACCTCTGGACTCTCGACAGTTTATCCCTATCTTTTCTGAAGTGTGACACCCAGAATTGGACACACTACTCCAGCTGAGGCCTCACTAGTGCTGACTAGAATAGGACAATTACCTCCTGTGTTTCATATATGATACTCCTGTTAATAGACCCGAGACTGATATTACCCCTTTTTGCAACTTCATCACATTTTTGACTCATATTCAATTTATGATCCACTATAACCCTCAGATCCTCTTTAGCAGCACTAACCCTGGCCAGTTATTCCATTTTGTAGTTGTGCATTTGATTTTTCCTTCCTTAGGGTAGTACTTTACACTTATCTTTACTGAATTTCATCTTGTTGATTTCTTATGAACTGCCATACTGGATCAGACCAATGGTTCATATAGCACAGTATCCTGACTCTGACAGTGGCAATTTTGGAGAGATCCACCCATGTCTTCACCTTCTGGCATTCAGAGGTTTACGGTCACACTGAGCATGGAGTCATATCCCTGACCCTCTTGGCTAATAGCCATTCTAGTTGCTGGACACATCCTTCATGAGCTTATCTAGTTCTTTTTTGAACGCAGTTTACTTTCAGCCATCACAACATCACATGGTAATGAGTTCTTCGGATTGACTGTGTGTGGTGTGAAAAAGTACTTCCTTATGTTTGTATTAAACCTGCTGTCTATTAATTTCATTGCCTAACCCCTGGTTTTTGTATTGTGGAAAAGGATAACTAACATGTCTCTATTCACTTTTTCCACACTATTATTTTATACCGTTCTGTCATATGTCCCCTTAATCATCTCTTTTCTAATCTTAAACAGCCCTACTAATTTTAGGCTCTACTGATATGGAAGCCATTCTATAGCTTTGATAATCTTTGTTGCCCTTCTCTGAAACTTTTCCAGTTCCACTATATCTCTTTTGAGATGTGGAGACGAGAACTGGATACACTATTCAAGGTGTGGGTGCACCCTGGATTTAAATATTGGTGCTATAATATTTTGTCTTGATTTTCTATTCCTTTCCTAATAGCGCCTAACATTCAGTAAGCCCTTTTGAACACAGCTAAAGTTTTCAGAGAACTATCCACAGTAACTCCAAGATCTCTTTCTGGAGTGGTAACAGCTAATTTAGAACCCATCATTTTATATATATATATAGAGAGAGAGATTATTTGCACTTGTCATTGTTGAAGTTTGTCTGCCATTCTGTTGCCTAGTCACTCAGTTTTGTTAGTTCCTCGAGTACCTCTTTACAGTCAGATTTGGACTTAAAAATTTGGAATAATTTTGTGTCATTTGAAAACATTGCCATAGCCCTGTTCACCCCCTTTTACAGATCATTAGTGACTATGTTGAATAGCACTGGTCCCAGTTCAGATCAATTACCTATTTGGCAAGTTCATTTTGAATTCTAAGTGCATCTTCCAAAGTGATTGCAACCCCTGAGCTGAAGTGAGCTGTAGTTCAGGAAAGCTTATGCTCAAATAAATTGGTTAGTCTCTAAGGTGCCACAAGTACTCCTTTCCCTCAGCTTTGTGTCATCTGCAGAATTCATTAGCATACTCTCCACTCCACTATCCAAGTAATTAATGAAAATATTAATTAGTATTGCCTGACTCCTGCAGGTAGGGTTACCATCTGGCCAGTATTTGACAGGCCTGGCCAGGTTTTTTAAAAATTTGCCAATTACCAGAAAAATAATTTAATCTGCCAGGGTTTTTTTGCATGGGTCTAGAAATTTGCATTATTATCATAATACCCTGGGATATCTTATATTAAAAGTTTCTAATTCCAGCTAAAGATGATACTTTAAATGGCTGGGGGAGGGGGGTATATTTAGGAGTTTCCTTGTAGTTAGGATTGCAGGGGTGGGGAAATCATAGAAGATCAGGGTTGGAAGGGACCTCAGGAAATTATCTAGTCCAATCCCCTGCTCAAAGCAGGGCCAATCCCCCATTTTTGCCCTAGATCCCTAAGTGGCCTATTCAAGGACTGAACTTGCAACCCTAGGTTTAGCAGGCCAATGCTCAAACCACTGAGCTATCCCTCCCCCCCCAAAGACTATAGCCTGGCTTCCACTCCCCCGGCTCCACTCGGCCAGCTGTGCCAGAGCAAGCTAAGGGCCCAGACTGGATGTAGGAAAGGGCAGCCATATCAAACAGGAGCCGGCACGTTCAGCCGTGCCCCCGCAGCAGGCAGCTCCCAGCGCGGCCCTGGCCGCGCCCCGGCCTCTCCCAGCAGCGGGCACGGCCGGGCGGGAGATAAGCTTCTGACCCACGAGCGGCGCCTGGCCGCCCCGCGTCGTTTCTCCGCGTTCCTTTTCCTGGGGCCCGCCCTGCCTGAAATAAGATGCCTCCGCCCGCCGCCTGAGCGAGGGCGGAGCCAGCCAGGCCAAGCCCTGTAACGGGGTTGGGCGTCCGAAGCCAGGCAAGCTGGGGGCGGGACTGGGGCCCGGCCTTTCCCCTCAGTAGCCCTGGCCTCTCCTTCCTTCCTCGCTCCCGGCGGGGCCTTTAGAAGCCAAGCCGCGGCTCCCGCCCTACGGCGCGCCAGAGGACGGGGGCGGGACCCTGGGGAAGGCGGAAGCCGTGGGATCCAGAAGTGCGGGCCGCGCGCGCCTGCCGCGATGACATCAGCTGGTTGTCGCCGAGGGAGAGAGAGGGTTAAGAATCCGTTGCACTCGTGCGGCTTCGAGCTGAGGCGGGCGGTGAGTGTCAGGCTGTAGCTCGGGGGTGGTGGTTAGTGGAGGCTTTAGGCCCAGCTTATGTTGATTCCTGGGGGTAACAGGCCACTGAACTGGTGGGGAGAGATCCCTGGGCCCCTGCACTGGGGGCATAGGCAGGGACCCTGAGGGGGAAGAGGGCTCTAGGCCCTTGGACCACCGCTAGGGTTGTCAGGTGTCTGTTTCTTGGCTGGAAAGCCCAGTCGTATTGGAAAACCCGGGAGGTTCTGGTCAGCACTGCTGACTGGGCCGTTAAAAGTCCAGTTGGTGCAGGGCTGGCAACAGGGCCATCCCTCGGCATATGCAGAATACACAGCTGTGTGGGGCACCAAATTGCCCCACATTTCATGGTGCCGTAGGCAGTTGCATGCTGCATACATGGCAGCAGCTCTGATGGCCAGCCCTATACCCTGGCTGGCCCCTTTGTGGGCTACACTCACTACAAGGGGCAGGGCTGTCCCTAGGGTGGTGTGGTCCCAGGACAACTCTTAGTCTTCCCCCATGCTCTGTCACCGGCCTGCTCTCCATTCCACCTCTTTCCCACCCCTGCCTCTTCCCTGACTGACTGCACTTATCGGCAGGAAGTGGAGCAACCCGGCTCCAGCCTGCTCCACTCTACCAGCTCCTAGCTGCGTTGCTCCGCTTCCCGCTGCCGGTGAGTGCAGGGGGTAGTCCTTCTCCCTCCCCAAGTGACACGGCTGGGGCGGGGGAAGCAGAGCAGGCTGGGGCCAGGTCGTTCCACTCCTGCTACTGGTGAACGCAGGGGCAGTCCTTTCCCCAGCCCCCACCCTCACCCATGCAAGCGACACGGCTGGGGCCGGGGTGCGGGAAGCAGAGATGGCTGGGGCTGGGTTGTTCCACTTCCTACTGCTGGCGTCAGGCCCCATGCTAATACCCCGGGCCACTTTGTGCCTGTGGAGCCCCCCAAAACTCCTGCCTCCCTGGCCCCGCAGGCCTCGAGCACAGCTCACATCCTCTGCTGGGGGGGGAAGGGGGGAAGAGCAGATGCTCGTGGTGCTTAGGGCACCATAATTGGTAGCAACGGCCATGGTTGGCAGGCTCCTTACCTGGCTCTGCGCATCTCCTGGAAGTGGTGACATGTCCATCTGGTTCCTAGGTGGAGGGACAGCCATGGCCTGAGTGCTGGCTCTGCAGCTCCCATTGGCTGGGAACCATAGCCAGTGGGAGCTACGGGGGTGGTGCCTGCATGGGGAGGCAGTACACACTGCGCAGAGTTCCCTCGCTGCCCCTCTGCCTAGGAGCCGAGGGACACGTCGATGCTTCCAGGGAGCCTCCTAAGATAAGTGCTGCCTGTCTGGAGCCTGCACCCTGAACCCTCTACTGCATCCCAACCCCCTGCCCCAGTTCTGAGCCCTCCCCTGCACCCAAGCTCCCTCCTGGAGCCCATGCCCCACACCCCTCCTGCACCTCAACCCTCACCCCCGTCCTGCACCCAAACTCTCTCTCAGAGTCTGCACCCTACACGCGAATCCCTTGCCCCATCCTGGAATCTGCATCCTAACTCCCTCCCAGAGACTGAGCCCCCTCCCGCACCCAGAATCCCTCCTGAAACCTGCACCCCACATCCCCTCCCGCACCTCAGCCCAGAGCCCCCTCTCGCACCCAAATTCCCTCCTGGAGGCTGTACTCCCTGCCGCACCTTTGCCCCAGCCCTGAGCTCCCTCCTGGAGCCCACACCCTCTCCCATGCTCCAACACCTTGCCCTAGCTCTAAGCCCCCTCCCGTACCCTGAACCCCTCATTTCTGGCCCCACCCTG